CTTCTTTTCCAAGTTGGAGCTTGATCAAAATCATCACATGTCCATCTCCATCTCCATGGACTTCATCACTTGCTCCATCACTTGGCATGCACCAACCTTGCTCAATTCAACACTCATGATAAATGTTAGTACTTAGGTTTCATCAATTATCCAAAACCAAACTAGGGCTTTTAGCGGCAGCCCTTCCCCCGCCGCGCCGCCATTCCACGCCGCACCGCTAGCATCGAGAAGAAGGTGAGGGGGCGACGCCTGCCTACACCTCTGGTTCGGATGCCCAGCCGACGTCGAGAGAAGGTGGAGACATCGAGGCGAGGTAGTCAAAGGTGAGGAGGGAGCGAGATGCAACACCCAGATGTAACACTTGCAACATACGTCTGAAGGCAGATGAAACACTTGAAACATGCATCTGAAACACTTGCAAAAACACTTGAAAACCATGTAAAACATAACAATATCTAGATAAAACACTTGCAACATATGTGTGAAACATGTGCAACATCCAAATAAACACACTTGCAACATACGTCTGAAAAAAAACAGCTGAAACATTGGGAACAAAAGCTTGTAACATATGTGTACAACCATTGCAACATATGCAACATCTAGCTTTTGCAACATCCAGATGAAGCACATGAAACACTTGAAACATGCTCTTGCAATGTCACCTAGCTGCTTGGACAAATCGCAGAGCTCGACGCCGGCGTGGAGGTCAGCAGCAGCGCATGGAGCTCGTCGGTGCACCCCTGGGCGAGGACCTGCTCGGTGGCCTGCCTGGGGCAGCGCACCCTTGGCGAGCACCTGCTCGGTGGCTAAGCGGGCAGCAGAGGCGGCCGCGGCGGCGCGGATGCCGTGGTGCAGGCGAACGGCATGGTGGAGTGCAGAGTGGGGAAGGCGGGCGGCACGGTGGAGTCAGGCGTGGACGTCCAATGGAGCGGTGGATAAGGTCACGATGGAGGAGGTCGAGTGCATAGAGAGAATTTTTTTGAAGGGGTGCGGACAGGAGCGAGCGGATGGATAAGGTAAGCCGCGTCTGTTCGTCCCCGGACGCCCGCACAAGAGCATTACCGTTCCAAATTACAAGACATTTTGACATTTCTAGATACATTATTTTTACTACGTATCTAGACATAGTGTATATGTAAGTGGATATTAAAAATTTTGTATCTAGAAAAGTTAAAACGTCTTGTAATTTGAAATTGAGGGAGTATTTTGTTAGGAAAACCATAATTGACATATAGCTATGTACTCCTAGTACTGAACTGCTGATATGTCACACTCTCCATTGCATAATATAGGGTGCAATTGCTCTCAAGTGAGAGGCATATATATGATTGGGCTTAGGGAAGACATTATTATTTCACTCTCATGATCCTACCAGAAAAACACATTTGCTGCTCTAGGATCTCTGTTAGCATCAAACCACTACTCTTCATCAAAGTATCCACAAGTTCAAGGCCTATATTAGAACATACAAATTTTATAGTAATTTTGCAAAAATCTAAGACTCTTTGGATGTAGATATTGGCCGGAGGAATTGAATTGGGTGGCAATACCAATTTAGCCCTAAAATAGAAATACAATACCAGATCTATTGTTTGGATGCGAATAGAATTGGTAGTTGGAATCTAGGCCGTCGGCTCCCTCCCTTGTTGTCCACTGTACGGTATTTGGCTGCTCTGCTCCCCTCCTAGTGGAGGTGCGACGACGAGTAGAGGCAGAGGGGCAACATGGGCTAAGCTTCTCCTTTGGCGGCACGATGGGCCGAGCTTCGCCTCCTACACACGTGTGTGGCTGAGGTCGAGTTCCTCTGCCGTTGAGCATACACAAGTGACCGAGCTCTAGGTGTGGACCTGCTGGAGAGGCGGCGGTGGCAATCGGGAGGGAGCCTCGATCCGCCAGCAATGGTTGGGTGGAGGCAGTAGACGGGGTTCGATGGAGCGGGTTCGTGCTATGAAATATGAATTTTGTCCAATATAGAGGGGTCGACGGTCAAGCATGGTTTTGAAGGTGAGTTGATTCAGGTATAGCCGAAATACCATATAATCGGGCTTCAATTCCATCTCACAATTCCGAAGACATCCAAACAATGGAACTGGCAAAACTCATTTCCAATTCCTAATTCCAGGTCTCAGTGTCTACATCTAGATTGGGCTTTATATGAAATCAGCAAGAACGACCACAAGGACTATCTCCGTAGTAATTTGTCTGGCAAGAGATAGGTGGAAAAGATCATGGTAGGGAGATAGAATGATGCGTCGAGATTCATGCGGTACGAAAGGGAAACATTTCCCTTGTATCAGTTAAACTCCCGCAGGAAATAAACCCCACGTTATTTCAAAAGGAGGCCCAAGTATTTCACCTCAAATAACATTCACGGATTTCAAAGTGACATTTCAGCTAAGTTATTATATTGACATTTGACAACGAGATCAAGCAAATTCTTCAGACGTTCATGTGTACCTTTTTTTCTGTTGTTTTCCTCCTTTTCTATGTTTATTTTGCAGAAAAGGTTGTTTCAGGAGGGCTGGGTGATGCTTTTGTTCTTGTGCTTTTTTTTATTTCTCTCAGCTAATAAAAATTGCAGCAAACTTGGCTTGGCTGAAAAATACTATTCTGGCTAAAATGTTGTGAGAGAAAAACACCGTTCCGGCTAAAAAAAGAAGCCGAACAAGCCGGATTTAAGATAAGCCGAACGGGGCTAAAGCGCTTACTGTTCTTTTGAAGAAAAAAAATCTATGTAACATACTTATCTCTACTATTTTCCAAACAATATAAAGCCCAGTGTAATCCGCAAGAATTTCACAAGAACTAGTCCGATTCCCATTGAATTTGAAGGTGGAACAAACTCATAACGAAATCCAGGTCCCTAGAAGCTACAACTAAACTGGCTTCACAAGTTCACAGTCGAGCGGTGATTGACTGATTGTTCAGGCTTCATCCATGCAGTTTGACCTCATCTAGTTCTGCCCTGCACACGTGCGACAACATGTAGGAATACATTGCAGAAGATAGGCGTTATGACACACACGTGCTCAGCTCCGTGCGCGCGTGCGGTGCAGAAGAAGGTAAACGACTCAGATGACGAAACGTATTCGGCATCCAATGAGAAACAGATCGACAGGTAAATGCAGTTATATGAGCAACACAGAAGATTCAGAGACAGGATTAGACTTTAGGAATATGCCAAGGACGAACAAGGTCATTAACCACCGGGATTATTCTAATGCCCCCACTACGAGTCATGTCTCGGTGTTATCTTGTAAATTGATATTGATTAATAATGAAGAGGATCCTATGCCTTTGTGTAGCAAAACACGCTCAGATTCTTCGATAAAGTGAAAAATAACCTGTGATACGATTGAGAAGACCCTGCAACTTGTAAAAGTTATGAGATGAAGACCATAGCAGTTGGAAAATGACCGAGATCAGTACCAGCTTTATGTACCAGTTTCCTCAAATTAAACGAATGGTAAAATCTGACTTGTTTGTACACATGCACCCGCCTTTTTTTAATGACGAAACCGGCACAAGACTGTGCCCATAATTCACTGCATAGCGAAGGAGGTGCCCTGGGAGGCAGCAAGGAAAGGCAAAACTGAAGAAGGAAAAAAAAACTGGAAACAAAAACAAAGAGCTGTACAGAGTTGAGTATGGCATCACTGCTAACACTAACTGTGCTAAGAAGCGCTAGTAGCACAACACAAATGGATTGGACACTCAAGTTAGCCTTTAAAAGCTTCACATCATCTAGATACAAAGTACTCCCACGTGAGATGTAAATTGTATCTTACCATGATCTCTCTGCAACACACACCACGATCTTTCCATCTCAGTTCCTACACATTCCCTATCAAAACATGTTTAATGTAGAGATAACATTCAACTCCACTGCAAAATTTGACAGCTTGATTCTTCTCACCTCATCAAGGATCTTACCAAAATCTTATAGGCGCACAAAAACACAAAAAATATGGAATGATGGAGTGAATTAATCAATCAATTAGATCTTGGCTAGCTGTTGATTAGTGAGAGGTTCAGATAACCCGTTGACAAGGGACCAAGAAGAGTGCACGCACGACTGCGCGGTTTTGTTCTCCCCTCCCTCGTCAAGTCTAAAAAAAAGAAGAGTGCACGGGGAGTGGGGGATGACGCCCGCGAAGTCAGCAGCCAGCATTAACTGCTGACACATTCCTTTGCAGAGCTGAAGATCCAAGAGAATGGACGGATTAATAATGGAAGAAGCACTAGTGGCAGGTTTAGGCCAGTCATTCCCTGCATTAACTGCACTAATCAAATCTGGTTGCAACATTAATGGCCCCTGGATCAGTTTAATTGCCCCTGCGCCCGGGCTTCCCAGCAGGCATGGATGGAGATGACAGATGAGATTAATGTCTTGTCGTTCATACTATATTGGGTTGGAGCAATTGCAGCCATGTTTCTGGTGAGTGTGGCTTTACAAGGCGCTGATGCGAAGGCTATGCTTAAAAGCATGTGAGTGCACGAGAAAGAGGACCCAGAGCATAGAAGAAATTGAAAAACAAAGCTTAATAGTGCTGGAACATCAACCAGTAGTTAGGACAAACAAAAATTGTAAGACAACATAGATCAACAGCAAGCAAAATGATAGCAGTAACGTTGACCACATGTTTTTTTTTTCCAAAATGAAAAGAGAGACCTAATAAAGTCTAAACGTACAATATCAGCAAAACAAAGGAGGAAGTTCGCACAATTTACTCATACTAGTCTGGGTAAAGGTATAATGCTGGGAATTCTTTATGGGTAAGCTAATGTCAAGCATACATCAAGGTTCTCTGCATCTGATTTTAAGGTTTTATCTCAACTTGGAGTGATCCAATATCTTATAGAAGATGTAGAAAAAAGGCCCATTATGCTTCTCAGAGACAGCACATTACCCCTGTGTTTGCCCATATAATCAGTAAAGCGTCTGCTTATATAAAGGTGAATCCAAGGTATTTTGATATACTTCCGTTCCGCAAAAGTCATTGACGCAACAGAAAATGACATTGTTCACCAAATTTAACCACAGCATGCCACTGAAACATCATACAAACACAAACAAAAAATGTTCAAAGTAATGCTTACCAGTGCATAGGCGATGGTGCCCACCAGAACAGCAGTTTCATATACTGTTAGGATAATTTGAGTTTATTCGACTAATTAGGCTCAAAGGTTTGGAACATCATTCTGCCATCATGCATAGTAGATCCAGATACAGAAACAAGGCTGTGTCAATTTCCGTCAGAAATCTTCAGAGCTAGCTATGTCCATAATGACAACGCAGGTTTTACCACAACAAAGCATGCTGTGCATCATTTATCCATCTCCCAGATAATGCCACTGTCCTCTGGATGCAGCAATGAACAAGAGTGAGAAGATGCATATAATATCATTAGTATGAGTACATAAGCAAGTATGCAATCCTAATCCATGCTTTCTGCAGTACAACTCATAATCCAATAATAGAAGGGAACAACTCATAATCTTAACTTTCCCAGATACAGTCCTGAGGTACGAAAATCAAGTGGGCATTTGATCTTGCTCCTGCTATGAAATGCAGGAACATACCTTTGATTTTTTGTTTATCCAAACCTCAAGAAGCATCCCTGCACCAACGCCAGCAGCACATACAGCAACGTAGATTGCCAGTGCAGAGGGCCAAGACCGCCGAGGGAGAAAATAGCAGTCAGGGACTTGTCTGATTTTCTTTGGGAGACGCTTCTTAACAATTGGTTTGCTAGATTCAGTCGTCACTGCACCGCCCACAGTCTTCCAGTCCACATTCTTCAGGATATCTTTTGAGTCTTCAGCGGCCATTCCGAAACTGTATGTATAAATGTTAACCAGAATTCCAGGAACAGACATGTAGGACAGTCACACAATACAACAACAACAACAAAGCCTTTAAGTCCCAAACAAGTTGGGGTAGGCTAGAGTTGAAACCCAGCAGAAGCAATCAAGGTTCAAGCACGTGAATAGCTATCTTCCAAGCACTCCTATCCAAAGCTAAGTCTTTGAGTATATTCCATCCTTTCAAGTCTCCTTTTATTGCCTCTACCCAAGTCAACTTCGGTCTTCCTCTGCCTCTCTTCACGTTACTATCCTGGCTTAGGATTCCACTACACACCGGTGCTTCTGGAGGTCTCCGTTGGACATGTCCAAACCATCTCGACCGGTGTTGGACAAGCTTTTTTTCAATTGGTGCTACCCCTAATCTATCACGTATATCATCGTTCCGAACTCGATCCCTTCTTGTATAACCGCAAATCCAACGCAATATACGCATTTCTGCGACACTTATCTGTTGAACATGTCGTCTTTTCGTAGGCCAACATTCTGCACCATACAACATAGCAGGTCTAATCGCCGTCCTATAAAACTTACCTTTTAGCTTCTGTGGTACCCTTTTGTCACATATGACACCAGATGCTTACCGCCACTTCATCCACCCTGCTTTGATTCTATGGCTAACATCTTCATCAATATCCCCGTCTCTTTGTAGTATTAGGACAGTCACACAATAGCAATGCATATTCAATTTCAGGATATCTTGAGACTTCAGTGCCATTCCGAAACTGTACGTGTAAAGTTATTCATAATTCCACAAATAGCAGATGTAAAATAGACAGATAATCACGCAATAACAACATATTCTCCTTTCTTGGCAAGGGAATATCAATACATTCAGTTCTTCAGGATATGCCTCTGTACAAGTTTTCAACATATTCTAAGACATAGGGGTTTTGCAGTGACACAGGGGTAACATATTCTGACACACAAACATAAGGAGTGGCATATACTTAGAATTTCCCACATATACAACACCCCGGTTACTTCCTGAGATATAAGAAGAAATGTTACAACACCCCAATTACCACCTGAGATATATGAAGAAATGTTACAAACAACAGCATAGGCACGGGATTGCAGCTAACATATCTGAACAAATCACATAGTCAATTGATCCAGGTGCAGTGGCAACTAGAGCTTATCAATTAATGCCACCCAATCCAGCACCACACGTCATCACGGCATAACTTATAACAAGCTTAAGATGAGCACAGCAGGATTGAAACGGAACGGACCAAAAGAGGAGGGATACCAACAGCTCGAATGAGAGGTTACAGAATCAGTACAAGGTTCCATATTTCATTTCTTATCAATTGATAAGGGACTCCTTTGTTTCAAAAAAAAATGATACGGGTCGCGCAATTCATAAACGCCCGTTATTCTTATTCAGCTACGCACTTGATGACGAATGGAAGAGTCCAATCCAACGCATGCGCAGCTATAGACTTGAAGAAATTCCTGCTGTGTAGTGGGTAACCGATGGGGAAGCGAGTAGCAGCGGAACAAACGGAGAGTAAGCGAGAAGGAGGGGAGATGGAAATGGGTCCCACTTACCGCGTGGGCCGCGGGTCAATCGATGCGGCGGCGGCGGCAGTGGACGAGGCGGGGCGGCGCCACGGCGGGGAGGCGGCGGGGGAGGCGGAGAGGCGGCTCTGCGTTTGGGAAACGGCCGACGAGGGCTGGCTCGCCTTTCATGGGCCATCCATGCAGTATTCCAGTGGCCCGGTTGCCTTGTAGGAGCGACAGGGAGCAAGGGGAATCGATCGGTGGGCTCTACCTGGGTCCTCCTACGGGGCGCAAATAATTGAGTGCGGCCAGACGGACCCCAAAACTGCTAATGGACTGCTGTTGGGCCAAAATTCACAAACGCAAAACAGCTTACGATTTATTATTTTTATATTTTCTACAAATTATTTTAAAAAAATATCTAATAAGTAAAATAATCATAAGTATATACTTTTCAGGAATGCTATACAACACATGTGTGTTTCTTGGTTCATTGGCACATGGATTTTCTGCCCGTTGGATCCGTCTCGCACGTGTCTCCTGGGTCGTTCGATGTGGCGTTTATGTTTTGTTTCTCTGACCTACGGACCTCAAGGCCACGCATTGACTCACTTCTCCAGTGGGTGAGACCGGCTGCAACCTTTCCCCTTCCTCTATCCTCTTCTTACCCAGGCGCAGCGCGCGCACATTTCCGGGCACGACGCCCACCTACCGAAGGCCATGGCGAGCCAGTCCTCCATGGCCACGGCCGGCGAGGGCCCGTGCAAGGTCCCCCGAGCGACGGCACGGGTCGCGACCGGACGAGGTCCCCGAGCGGCGGCACGGGTCGCGACCAGACGAGGTCCCCGAGCGGCGGCACAGGTCGTGCCTGGACGAGCTCTCCCGAGCAGCGCGGGCGGCGGCCGTCTCCAACGACGAGGGCGCAGGGCGCCATTGCTAGAGGTCGGTAGGTACCTTGGTACGGCGCGCGTTGTCCCTTGATTTGAACTCTATTGTTGGGGGTCATTGGTTCAGTAGATCTGGTTTTGTAGTTGTTTGATTGATTGTTCTAGGATTTGATGGTATGTTGGATGTATTTGTGGTTTGGGTCCTTGAAGGAAATGGCAATGAGATCCCAGAGTTGACTGTATAGCCTGACTGCATATTGTTATATTACTTGACATGGAATTTTACACATGTTTTTTTCGTAGATCCATGCAGTGTGTTGTAGGTCTGTTGTTTGTAGTGTTAGATCTGTTCATTTTCGGCACCTATGTTGTACTAAAATACTGATTGGATGGTTCTGGAGTACAATTTGTCAACTCTTGGCTGATTGATGATGAAACAATTACCCCAAGCGCTTTTATTCCACTGATACCAGTGATGGAAAGCTATATTATCATAGTTTTTATGGTTTTCAATCTGAACTGTAGATCAAGAGTTTGTTCTGATTTTTTCTTATATTTTGTGTTAGATTTTTCTTCTTCCGGCCATGTGAAGATAAAAATCTTAACTAGAAGATGATATTTGGATATGTTTTTTTAGTTTCCTTTTGGCTTAAGTAATGGGAGAACCGTAGCGTTAGCACGGGCAATAATGTTATATATAAAAAAAATAGACTTTTGGTTTTTGCAGACTCATTAGCTTGAATCTAACTAAGTATTGGACTGTTATCTTGTGACAATATTCTAGGCTTGCAGCTCTATAAATCAAGGAAAGTAAAACCCAAGGAATTTACATTTCTGGAGCAACAGAGGTCAGAAGAACATGGCATCTTCTTTCCATTCTAATTTTCTGTGATATTCAGAAAGAAGTACTTGGCATCAGGGCCTCCATGCTTTCACATTGATATTTAGAATTTGTTCAATTACCCATGCAGATATCTATCCTGAATAGTTCAGATGCATTAGAGAACCTTTCTGTAAGTCTTATTGAGCTTTACTTGGAGTGCCTTTCTATAAGCAGATACTAATAGCCACTTCTTTATATAGAGAAAGATTATCCCATTGTATCTTGTGATGATTTGAGATCTGTTTGGACCATTCTAATTTTCTCAATTTTATTGATAATAAATTGACATCATTATGTGTTCTGTCATATAGTGTTTCATGTACATGCATAGTTTGCTAGGTGCATGTATGATGTATGAGTTGGGTAATTTGAACTATGGTTTAGGTTCATTTTTGTCGATCCATGCTTTTCTATATCCAAGGAGGGCTTCTTGTTTGTATTGCACGGTTGTTTTTTATTCGTTTAAACCATTTGGGTATGGATAGTATAGTACCAATTGTGCTTTTGTGTCTCACAAGCTAAAGAGAATACTATTATTGGATTCAATATTTTAGTTATGTATTGTTCTTAAAGCCTCTGTGAGTTGATTAAATTTTTTGTTATCCATACTAAATATTACTCACTCCAGTATAAAAAAGATGACCTTAGGATGGCTTATTTTTATTCACTATAGAATTTTTTTTTTATTCGCTATAGAATTTGTTAGTATATGATGTCAGGATGGCTTAGTTTTATTTACATGTTGAGATCTATGCATTGTTAATAGAAATAACTTATGATGTCAGGAATAATTATTCTAGTGTTCTGTTTTTAACTCTGTATCTCCTCTGCCAGGTGTCAGGTAGTCTGAAGTGCAATTATGTATGTAGTATCCATTTCTTCATTGCCCATTTATAAGTAATAAATTGCACACTTAAATTATTATAATTATGGTGTTTAACATTGTACAATATTCAGTCCTTATATATAACTTTTTCACTTTTTTTCTTTTTTACATTTGATTAGGCATGAAAAATATATGTTCAGAAAGCTTGCACTAGGAAAACTATTTACTCTAATAGTCAAGTGTAGCATCATTTCGATTGTTTGATGATGAATAATATTTCTCTAACTTGGATCAGTGCTTGCAGCTGAATTATATGGCTAACTCTTTTTTATGTTTCAATTTGTTCTTGTTCTAAAACCTAAGGCTTTGTCATTGTTGTTTACAAATATTTATTATTGAGATATTAACTATTGGATGGTGATTGTTTGTTTGGTTTGAGAAAGATTTGTTCCTGCCACTTGTTGTTAGTGGCGAAGAGTTGGCTTGGCTATTAGCGCCTTGTTGTGATATATGATTGACCTCATGCATGTGGGCTTCAACACTCTGTTTTTTTTGTTTCAGGTGATGTTTGGTCTATTACGTGCCTTTGTTCCTTGCTCTGTGTTTCTGTATATCTATCATGGAGATAATTTCATGTGCTTCCGCATGTGCTTTAGTCACTGTCTACCTTTTAATGAGATTGGGTTGTGTCTCTTCTGCATATTAGTTGTCTGCGGTGTTGCGGCTTCTAAGGGCATACTTCCTTCATTTTTTGTTGTTGTTACTATTTTATGTGGGATGGGATTTGAGTGCTCTGATTTGGCCTCCTATCTGGGTCTGTTTTTTTTCAACTGCGTTGCCTTGCCTATTTACTCTCTTCCTATTGTCCTGTTTACAATTTCGTTTGTTGCGACCCTGACATTCCTTCCAGTTTTAGGAGTTGCTTCTCTCAGCTTATAGTGTCGCACCATGTTTACTTCCGGTTCCTGTTCTTAGCATCTAATTATTCTCTCAGCTGATCCTTCAACTTGGCCGGTTCACGTTTTGTTTTTAGCGTCTATTAAAGCATTTTTTAGGTGTGGGCGTGTGAGTTGAGTGTATTGGGAATAGGTCCTATGCCTTCTCCCTTATTTTTCTCATATCTTAATGAAATGACTGACAACTCTCCTATGTTGTTTGAGAAAAAAAACAAAAGTTGTACTAGATTTATTAACGTTGATATTGGCCTATCTGGTTCACAGGTAGCTGGAGCTGCTGTTGATGCTAGGTTGCCCCTTGAAAAGGTAGCTAAACAAGCAAGGCATGCATCTAAGTTGGTTGGTACAATGGAAGTTGCTCTGTCATGGTGTACACTTCCTGGTAAGGGAACCTCAGATCATCTAGGTCCAAGATCAAATGGAGCTTACTTGTGATGATATGTATTGGAAAAAATTGTAAGTTTACTTGTGATGATCCTCAAGCTGCAGACCGTTGAGATGTAATGTACTACTGCATATTGTCCCTTGGTAAGATTGTATACATCAATTTTCAGCTGCATCTATTCTTCTGAACATTGGGTGTCTGTCATCTTTGTTAAAGTCCTGCAATGTCCATTCTACAGGTTGTTGCAACTATGAGATGGCTGCTTTGAGGCCTACATTTTAAGCAATTGTGAGTACATTTCATGTCTCGATAAAATCTAGTTTACCATGACCTCTACCTTCATTGGCGATTTTCGAATCTTGTTGATTTTGTTATCTGGAAACTACCAATAGAGTATTTTCTCACATACAGAATACTCAATTTTGAGTTTAGAAAACCACACAGCTTGCAAAATATGCTCCAGCTACTTTAAAGTTGTGTTGGTGCACTACTGCACAAATAAGATGCATCCACAATATATTATTATTTTTTGTTTATTATTCTTGTCCATAGTAGTTGTAGTGCTCTGTTCCTATTAATCTTTTCTATTCACGAAAACAAAACAAATAAAACATTCAGTTAATTGCAATCAGCAATGACGTAAATTGCAAGTTTCCAGCCCCGCAACTTTAGTGTTGAGGATATGCAATATGTCCCTTTTCCTTGCGATTTTAGTGCCTTAGGATTTGCTCTGCAGTCAATTTGTGTCGTTTTGGGTCTGTTACTAGTTTGGTCTGAAATGAGAAATGTCCTGCATTTATGACGCCACACAAAAGCAACTGTGATTCGATTTAAACTGCCAAGGGCCTTCACACCTGAAATACATATAAGAGCAAACATAAAAAAAATTGGTTCTACTGTTGTCGCCTCGTTATGGCTTGTGTTGTTGTCGCCTCATTTTAGTGTGTATCTAGATTTCACTAAACTTGGTTCTGTTGTTGTAAGTTAGCCTAGGTAGACATTATTTCCCCTTATTTCCGTGAATTGATAGAACTAAGTGCATGTTTTTTTGCCGGAGCCTACGATCACATCCTGCATGATGACATAGACTTCAAACCAGATGACCTATAGGAGCTGGTGCATTCGCTCTCATATGTGTAAGTATACCAAGTTGAGGCTCAAAAAAAAACTTTTACGAACTTTTGTCTTGTTATGAAACTTTCCTGCTCATAAGCGATTTTCTATGACTTTATTTCAGGTACTAAAGGAGCACAACCGTCATATCAATTGGTAAGTTTATCTGGGCACTATTTTTTTCTCTGTGTCAAACTTGTAGTGCTTGCTGCATTATTCTCTGTTTGCACATGGTTTTTAAGTGGTTACATCATTGCTACTTCTATGTTCTAGTTTGGATAAAAAATGTGATTTGTGTCAGCACACACCAAATTTTTGTCCTTGCCATTTCATAGAATAAAATTATTCCTTGTGATTTGTGCTAACACATCTTGAACTTTGTTAATTGTGATTTGTGGTAGCACACACCTTTTTTTGTCCTTGTCATTTGTGCTAGCTCACCTTTTCCTTTGTTTATTGTGGTTTGTGCTTGCCCAAGCCAAGTTTATGTCTTTGTCCTTTCATAGAAAAAAAATATCTCTTGTGATTTGTGCTAACACTTCATGAACTTTGTTAATTTTGATTTGTGCCAACACACATCTTATTTTTGTCCTTGTCCTTGCATATCAATATAATACAGACCCCAGAAGCTAAACTCCTTGTTATTTTATGTAGAAGTTTTTCTGTTTTTTATACATAATATGTGCTCAT